TTTTCATCCAAATTGGTTAGTGATGGATCCAGTCAAAGGGAAAAAAATAAACCAGTAAGTGTATAGTTTTTAAAGCTTTAATTTAAAAATAACATTAAGACACTTAAAAATATTAATGATGACTGAAATCTGAACAAATGAAGCACATTTTTAAAAAGCAGGATATCTACATTAGACCTTACAATGTTTATTGAGTGTGGAGAATAGTAGATTTACACCACTTCCCACCACCATCTCCTGCACCCACACTACAAAGTAACTTTCTCCAAGAATTTCTTTGTGGATTTTTTTTTCTCTTCCTTTAGAAAAAAAATCAAATATTTCACACAGCATTTCATCAGATCAAATGTCAGTACAATTCTGGTAAGCTTCAAGACCCAGAAGCACTAAATTTGTATTTAAAAAGGCTAGATCGCTCACAAACCCATTATAGTATTGTCATAAGCCTCCAATATGATCTCTCCCAATTGCTTGCACACATGGCGTTCCTCTCAGGGCTTTTGACAGCAGCTGAATATCTGTTTGTGAAGAACAGAGGCATCTCTGTATTTTCCATGTATCTAATTATAATTTTCAATTGAACTTTGTCTTCATCAACACTTCAAGAGATGCCTGGGTGTTTAAACAGTGAATAGGCATTATCATCAGATAACAAATTGGGATTTATGTGGCCAAAAGCAATACTACTTTAAAAAGAAAATCCAGTAGCACATAGAAAATTGGATCTCCAACAAAGGGCTCCTAATAAGTTTTCCTTGCCATACTGATTTATCTGCAAGTGTCTGAGCGTGAATGATGCAATCATTAGTAACTAACTTATTTATTTATTATTTGTATATTATAAGCACTTTTATACCACCCACCTAACTTATGACAATTTAGACTAAATATCAAAACCAACAAAAAAATCAATAAAAATAGTACATTTAGAATAGAGAGAGACAGCCAATCTGTTGAACACTAAGAGACCTAACGCCCAAATTCCTGTTCCAAAACTAGTCTTGACTCCTTGTAAAAGTGCTAACCCAGAGCAAGGATATTCCTTAGTACCGGTATTTTCCCAAAAATAAGAACTATCCCGAAAATAAACCCTAGCCTGATTTTTACGTATGTGCCTAATATAAGCCCTACCCCCAAAATAAGCGAGCCGCTCCCCAAGGGCTTTGTAGAACCACTGGGGAAGGGGACCCTGGCTTTCCTCGCTCAGCTCCAGCTGGCGTAGGTTTCTTGGAGCTGACGTCGCATCCTTCCCTACACAGCGTCCTTCCTTTCCTCCCTTCTTCCAGGAGGAAAATGGCAGAAAATGGGGCTACCATTTCCAGAAGGGAGAAGGGAGACACGGGCCAATGCAGGGCAGCAAAAAAGTGTGTGGTGGCAATGGAGGGTTAGCGGAGGGATACCAGGGCTGGCGGAGGGAGGTGGCAGGAGAGGCTTGCGCCCCTGGTCATGGCGCAAGTCATGAGAGAGTTGGAGGAGGAGAAGGAGTTGGCAACTGCCGCCAGAAAGATGATCTATGGGGCAAAGCGGGAGCAGCAGGGACCGAAGAAAGCCCCTCCAGCAGCAGACACAGCTCCGAAACAGCGGAGGGGGACCAGGTAAGACCCATCCTCAATAGCATGGCAGTCCGGCTCAGGAGGGGAGTGAAAGGGAAGAGATGGGGGGAGGTCACCGAGCGGGGATGGCCTGGATTCAGGGGCCCTGAGGTAAGCGGGTGCAGGGCGCATGGGACAAATCCACACGCCAAAAAATAAGACATTCCCTGAAAATAAGCCCTAATACATTTTTTGGTGCCAAAAAAATATATAAGACCAGGTCTTATTTTCTGGGAAACATGGTACTACAGCCCATTCCTGAGTCCTAGCACCACCATCCCCTAATCATCCCCTAATCCAGCAGTCACCAACCTTACCAGCTCCGTGGACCAGCAGTGGCCCAGTTCCCAACAGATCACAGACTCATAACGGGCTGTGAACCGAGGGTTGTGGACCTCTTCCCTAACCCACCAGCTTGATTTTCCTCCTCCCACCATTACTGACATCCACTTAAGGAAGGAACAGAAGGAACAGAAAATGATGCCTGCAACTCCCATCCCCAGCAAGATACCATGAAAAGTCTAACAAGACCAAGAAGAATAAATAGGTAGTTCTTTGTTTAGCAACCACAATTGGGACTGGTAGCCCAATCATCAAGCAAAATGGTCATTAAGTGAAACTGCAGCTATGGTTTATGATCTTGCTTCACCTTTCCTTTCCTTTACACACCTGTGAAAGTCATAAATGCTAAGATTGGTCATAAAGTTATTTTTTCATCACTGTAGCAACTACAAAAGATTATGAAGATAGTTGCTGAGTGTATTACCTGTATAATACAGTACTACAAGAAGACTTCTTGCATTCCTATCCTTTAAATAAAACCTCCACCAAAATGACTAGATGTGAATTCTCCCCTTTCTCCAAGCTCAAAGGATCTTCAGCCTAGCATTCTGGAAACAAGAGATTCATGTGGCTCTGAGAAATTTAGAGACTCCACTCAAATGAATTCACTAATAATAAATAAATAAATAAATTCACTATTAAATAAATGCTATATTTGGGATTTATTTGGTTCCTAAGAGTCTCTATATTAGACCTCTACCGTCTTCAGAATAAATTTAGTTAATGATATTCATGAATCTTATTTTTTGAGGGGTTAGTATTCTCCTGTTAAGAATTTGACACAATGTTAAGTCTGTCCTCTGACAGGTCTGAATCCAGAGTAAATGGGATCTGGATAATATGGTTCAACCATGATCCTCTGAAGCTAGGAGAAGTTGGAAAAGAACACAGTAGTGTCAAATAAGGCTGGATTGCCTTTTTCAAGCCTAGAACCAACAGAAGCTCTCTCAAAAAAGCCATCACCATCTCTTGCATCCAAATAATCTCATCTTCTTCACAGACCAAACCAGTCAAGAGGGGCATGAATTCAACTTAGAAGTCACAGCACTGGTATTACAGGGAATCTTAGCCACTTTGTCAGTTTCCACTAGCTTAGTAAACAGTCAAAAGTCATATTCTCAGCCATCACATTCTATGATATGGGCATCTACTTAAAACGTTGTAAATGCCCAGCTGGATTCAGCACCTCAATAAAAACTAACTTTTTCATCCCAGTAGTAAAAATCCTATCAGAAGCAACCACCAACACAAATTTAAGTTTCAATTTTCTTTTGTAGAGGATCAGAGATAGATAATGTAGGGGATCTTCATGCTGCCTTGAGATATCCCAAGACCGCAGTCCCGGGAATGGATTGTAACATACATCCATCTATCCCGCTGTAGCAAAACATCTTCTTCAAATGTGACTGGAAAATGGGATGATACCGGGGGGGGGAGGGTGTTTAGGGTTAGCCTCCAGATATTTCATGCAGTCTTCTGTGTCCATGCCCAATGATGACAAATGGCAAGTGTAGTACTGCACTTCAGAAGGAACATCTGAAAGGCTGGAAGTGATCCACATATGTATAGAGGCCTTTCCTAAGAAGATATGGCTATGGTGGTCTTTACAGAGCAAACATTCAAACTGTAATTTGAAACAATTAAAAAAGACTTAAAACCACTTTTTAGTTTAAAATAGTTTTAACTGGCAACGCTGGTGAAATTTTCTACACAATGTAACCGTCTTAGTGGAATCTTCTTAATCCCAACATGAGGGGGAGAGAAAATAATAAATCTCAGTTATATTTTCCAGTTTCATCATTTCATCTTCAGGAAAGTTCAATCTGGAGAGTCTCCCCATATTTCCGGATTAACTTGTCGTGATTGTGATCAACAGACCATTGTGCTGGGAGATGCTTGGGCTGCATGACATCCAAGAAGTGCTGGCGCCAACGTTTCTCCAGCCCCATGAGAGAATATAAGCCCCCTTGAGCAAAAGACTGGACCACTTTCAGGCCATGTGGCACATAGTTCTCATTAAAAATCCTGAAAAAAAAGATGAACAAAGGAAGTGTTTGGGAAAGCACAGGCTTGAAGGATGCCAAACTTTCTTTCTTTCTTTCTTTCTTTCTTTCTTTCTTTCTTTCTTTCTTTCTTTCTTTCTTTCTCTTTCTTTCTTTCTTTCTTCCTTCCCTCCTTTCTTCATTCATTCATTCATTCATTCATTCATTCATTCATTCATTCTACCACTTCAAAATGGGCTTTATAGTGTCGAGAACATTATAGATACCAATCCTATTTACTAAGTGGTGAGGAAGTGAAATGAAAGGGAGGAGCATCTCTAATAAAAACACTGAGCATTTTCAGACTTCCGGTTTTGCATTGCAGCGAGATGGCACGCAGGAAGGCAGAGCTCTGCTTTCTGTGCCCGATTTTGCCTTGCTGGGGGCCCTAAAAAGGGCTTAAAGTCACCCCGATGAAGATCACGGAAAGCCCTCTAAACCAGCAGGGGAAAGACTGGCCACCCTCTGTGACCATCCATTAACTGCTGAAAACCGAAGAACAAAAGCTTTAATTAGCACTTGTAAACAGCATGTTTGGACTGCATAAGAATATTGATCCTTTCTTTACTATTTTAAAACTGAATTTCCTGGGAAAGGCTCCCAAGAAGCTTAAAACCTACAGATGTGAATGGAAGCAGCATTTTAAATTTTATGGGGGACAGAAATACAAATAGTGAAGTGAAAGTAATACAAAGCTACAGTTTTGATAAATCTGAGAACTGAGATAATTGTTAAGATTTTCTCTTTGGAAAAAAAATTATTGAGGTGAAATATAAGAAATCAACCCTTTATTTTAAGAGTGGAAAATGAACTTTGAATGACATCTAGTGGTGGTTTTGAGTACAGCACTATAGCTCCTTGGCTGCTTGGTGACTTTCAGCTTGGGACAATAGCTGGCAATAAAGGGAAATATTTTGGCATATTTATCATCCTGACCTTCTTGGACTATGAATACCTACCGAGCTTGGACTTTTAATCTCAAGAGCTAGTGGGAGAGAAAGAAAAAATTGACTTTTTGAATATGTCTGGCTGCAGGGAGGTTGAACATTTTGAATACTTGGAACATTGTGGATTACAACCTGGCCTGACTGATAATTTTCAGGATATGTGAGACAAAGGATTACTATAAAATATTGCTATTAGGACTGGATTATAAAGGCTATATACAAAGACCAGAAAATTAGAGGAAAGTTTGTTCCATTCTTACTGAGACTGGTGATACTAGAGGATTTCTAGGAATGATGCCTCAAGAAAAAACAAATACCTTTCAGTAGGAAATACTTTCTATGCTACAGTAAATTCATCAAACAATTGTTGTATACAAAGAGGACATAAAAAGAAACCATAATGAGACTAAAAATAACCTAGATGATATAAAGGTCCAAATCTTCAAATTGAAGCTACAACTGGAAAGCCCCCAGACAATGACTACAAAGTATGAACAAATAAACCAGAATCAGAGGGTGAAACAGAAGAAATGGATCTAGAGATGGAGGAGATAGGAGAAGGGAAATATGGACTGTCATACACAAATAAAATACTGCAAGACCTACCTATAACAATGAAAATACAAAAGACCCTTTACTCCTTTCTCCAAAATACACCTGATGACAAGGAAAAAGATTCTGGAAAATGGAACATAGAGCATGCAGGGGAAATGTCTAGGGAATGTGGATGGCTGGAGTTCCCCCCCCAAAAATACTCTACCTAAATATTGTCTTCCTCATGCCAAGTAGCTTTCACAAAAATAGAAATTAAATTCTTGGATGATTTAATTGCCTTGGTCTGAAAAGCTGCTTGGCAAAGAAAGAAAGCAAGAGTTAGATTTAAAAAACAGAGGATCTGATCTATCAGAGGGAGCATTATCTGTTTAACATACCTGTTTGAATATGATTAAAAGAACGGATGACCCTTAGATATAATTAGACTTTTATAATATATGATTTAGAATTAAAATAGCACTTTTTTCTTCTTCTTTTGATATGGGAAATTTGAAAATAAGAGGATTGGTATGAATAAATTTTAGCTATAGAAATGTAATTAATATTGAGAAAATCATAACTGACAAAGATATTTTAAATATTGATGGGAAATCAAACTTCAATAAGAGCACAAAAAAGGATATGAATTGATATTATTGTTATTTCTATAATATTAGTAAAATATGATGAAGATGTCTATATCTAATTTTGTATATATCAACAGTAATAAGAATTGCAATTGTTTAATGAGGGGAAAAGGGAAAAAATATGGGGAAGAAAGGAAGATCAAGGAAAAAATACTGGATTGTGCAGTACTGAATAGATTTATATAGAAGAAGTTAATGTTAATTATGTGAACCCAGACAACATGTTGTTTACTAAGCTCCAAAGATTGTAATTTTTAAAAATTAATAAAACTTATAAAAAAACACTGAGCATGTCAAATCAATCTGATGTGAGATGAAGATGGACAGCATCCTCTAATCTGGAACCTTTCAGATATCACAGCAACCAGAAACTTGGAAGTGCAACACATATATGCTTATCCCAACATGATTTTTTATATAGCTAAATAGCAGGGAATTGTCAAGAAGATGGAAACCCAAATATTTACAGAAGTACAATAAATAAAACAAAAACATCCAAGAAAGGATTTCCTTGAAGGGAAATCCCCAAACAGCTCAATGAGAACCAAGTGTGTTGGGGCTGCCAGAATATCAGATAGCAAGAAGAATGGAACAGAATGCCTTCAGAAGAGATTTGGCCACCTGGCTCATTGGCTAGAACCAACCATGCTGCAACTGTTCTCGTCAATAGTTATTAAAATGGAAGGATAGGAGGGTATTACTTTACTGTTTGAAGATCTAAGAGAGAAAGCGGCGTTGTTCTTACCTGAATGCCTTTTCTCAGCAGAGTGGTGTAGAGTCCACAGGATGGGTTAATTATGCAATCCTGCCTAGCAGAACTAAGACAAGAAAAAACTCTTGACACGCCTCTCTCTGGGTGTGACTTCCCCAGTTTTTGGCACATGTCGAGGCGCAAAATGCAGACGCAAGGCTCCAAATAAAAGTGAAAGGAAAGAACCAAAGGACACATGTCTAGAAGAGAAATAACAGGGGGGGATGTGGACTCTACACCACTCTGCTGAGAAAAGGCGTTCAGGTAAGAACAACGCCGCTTTCTCCAGCAGATGGTGGTGTAGAGTCCACAGGATGGGACATACCAAAGCCGCTCATGTCCCTGAAGGGAGGGAGTCTAGGCATGTTCAACAGAGGGAGCGACAACTTGCTGCAGTACCCGTCTCCCAAAGGCCACATCTGCCGCAGCAAAGCGGTCTATCTTATAATGTTTGATGAATGAAGAGGGGGACGACCAAGTCGCCGCTCTGCAAACCTCTTCAAGCGAGGCCTGAGTGAACCAGGCCGCAGATACCGCGGCACTGCGCGTAGAATGAGCAGTGACCTGAGAAGGAACCGGAAGTGATTGGGAAGTGTATGCCTTAGTGATACAGGCCCTTATCCAACGACCGATGGTGGAAGAGGAAACCTTCTTCCCCAAGGTAGAAGGATGGAAGGAGACGAACAGGGCTTCCGATTTGCGGAAGGCCGAAGTACGTTTGAGGTAGTGACGCAGGGCCCTGCGCACGTCCAAGGTGTGCCACCCCTTCTCCAGACGGTAAGAAGGGTTGGGACAGAAATTTGGCAACACCAGTTCCTGAGATCGGTGAAAACCTGTGTTAATCTTGGGGATAAATGTTGGGTCCAATCTGAGGACTACCCTGTCCTCATGGAACATACAGAGATCCTTCCTGACAGATAGGGCGGCCAGCTCAGAAATTCTCCTGGCCGATGTAATGGCCACCAAAAAGGCGACCTTCAAGGTAAGAAAATGCAAGGAACATGAACCTAAAGGTTCATATGGAGAAAAGGTTAACGTCCGTAGCACAAAAGGTAAATCCCAGGACGGGTAACGATGAGACGTAGGAGGACCCGTATTTGCAGCACCCTTCAGGAAGGCACTAATCGCTGGATGGTGAGCGAGGGATTCCTGATTCTCACAAGAGAGGACAGTTGACAATGCCGCAACCTGTCTACGTAAGGTGCTTACCGACAACCCTCTATTAAGACCTTCCAGTAAATATTCCAATATGTTCGGAATAGTAACGGAAAGGGGAGAGANAATTTCTCCAGGTGACATCATAAATCCTGTTGGTGGAAGGCCTTCTAGAAGCCTGGATTACAGATATTACCCCCGAGGAATATGATAAACTAGCTAGACCCTCCCGCTCAAGTGCCAGGCGGCTAGTTGGAGCCACTGGGGGTCCGGGTGTTTGAGATTCCCCTGACTTAGGGCTACTTGGTCCGGAGGGATTCTCCACAGAGGAGAGAGCGAGAGATCCATCAGATCCGCGAACCACGGCCGACGTGGCCAGAATGGGGCAACCAGTATGACCTCCGCTTGTTCCTGTAGGAGCTTGCGAATGGTCGCTGGGAGCAGTGGGAGAGGAGGAAAGGCATAGAGTACGCCCCTGGGCCAGGGACTCCGAAGGGCATCTGTCCCTTCTGCCCCTTCCGATCTGAACCTGGAAAAGAACCTTGGGATCTGCGCGTTTGCCGGGGAAGCAAAGAGGTCTAGCACTGGCTGCCCGAACCTGAGGGCTGCCTCCCTGAACAGGAATGGATCTAGCTTCCATTCTGAATGGTCTATGGTGGCTCTGCTCAGGGAGTCCGCTTGTAGATTGTTCACCCCCGAGATGTGATCCGCTCGGATGGATTTCAGATTGGTTTCCGCCCAGAGACCCAATGCCATGGCCTCCTGCATGAGAGGCCAAGAGTGGGTCCCTCCCTGTTTGTTTATGTGCGCTTTTGCCGTAATGTTGTCCGTCAGGACTAATATGTGTTTCCCTTTTACCAGGGGAGAGAATTCCCAAAGAGCCAGGTGTACTGCTCTCAGCTCTAACCAATTTATGTTGTGGGTCAGGTCTGACCGTGACCACCGACCCTGGGCGAGGTGATTGTGGATATGAGCCCCCCAGCCGAATAGGCTGGCGTCTGTGGTCAGGGTAACCCTGGATGGCTCCTTGAAGAATGTACCCCTGGAAATGGCGGATGAAGTCCACCAGAGTAGAGATACCAGCGTCTGGTGTGGAACCCTGACCCTTGATTTTGATGCACTGAGGTTGCGTCTCTGATATGGGAGAAGGAACCACTGGAGACTCCGGGAACGAAGTCTGGCCCATGGCACGATGCCTAAGCAAGAGACCATCTTCCCTAGGAGTTGTGAGAGACGCACCAGGGGCACCCACTGTTCCCTGCGGACTTGGAGTGCCAGTGTCCGGATGCTGACCTGACGTTCCGGAGAGAGATAAACCTCGCAAAGGTCTGAGTCTATTAAGGCTCCTAGATGGATAAGTCGCTTTGTGGGGACCGTGTGGCTCTTTCTGAAATTCACAGAAAACCCGTGTTCTTGAAGAGTCCGCAGGGTAATCTGTAGGTCCGACTCGGCTGAGTGAAGGGACCTGGACAATACGAGTATGTCGTCCAGGTAACATTGGACACGCACCGGCCTCATCTGTAGATGAGCCGCCAGCACCGCCAGCACCTTCGTGAAGACCCGGGGGGCTGAGGACAGGCCAAAAGGAAGAGCCCGATACTGGTAATGCCTGTGTGCGTAGGCAAACCTCAGGAACCTGCGGTGTTCTGGCAAGATTGGAATGTGGAGATAGGCCTCCGTCAGGTCGACGGAGGAGAGGAAGTCTCCCTTCCTGACGCTTGCTAAGATGGATTTTAGGGTCTGCATTTTGAATTTCTTGTAAACAAGAAAGCGGTTGAGACCCTTCAAATCCAAGATGGCTCGCCAGCCCCCCGAG